CCAGTTAATTTAAATCACAACTGGATCTCAAGATGTAAAATATTAATACTAAGAAAAAATAATAAAAAACACATAGAAGTTGAAAAAATATATATAACTAGAGAATTTGCATTTTCTGCAAAAATACACCATGAATGCTTAAGGCTGGAAGATTTTAGCAGAAAAAAATTGCAATTTGTTGTAAAATAGCCAAAAAATCTGAACTTAGCAGAAAAGTGGCTGAAAAAGCTTAGATAAAGAAAAAAGCACATTTGCTGAATTAAGCAGTAAATTTCCACAAGAAGGTGAATTTAGCTATAAAAAAAGGTCAAATTAGCTGTCATTGTCTTAAAAAAGCAGCTGAAAGAAGCACAAAATGGTTTAAATTAGCAGAAGAAGTTGAAAAAAACAGAAAGATGACTGTAAAACAAGGGAAAAAAATTAAAAAAGAAGCTGATGGAAGCTTAAATTAGCATAAAGAAGTTAAAATAACAGAACCAGAACTAAAGGTGTACAGTAAAGATTTATAATTATTTTTGAAGGATTTTAAATGTGTTGAAGACACCGTCATTCATTTTCAATGAGAAAGAAAAAAAAGAGTATAAATTGCTGAAGTCCAAAAAGTCATAGCCAGAATGTCCTGAAAGAGCTGAACAGTTTGATATATAAATAGTTGAAACAGCACAAACATTGTGGAACGACAGAAGTATCAAAAAATATACGGCAGAAGAAGKGATCGTTTGAATAATGAGAATGTTTGATAAGCATTCACTCAATAATAGTTCCAAACACTGCAAGTGGCAGAGTGTGAGGATGTTGTTTCGACTAAAAAAATAGTCATTGTGACTCCGACAAATTTAATTTCATTATAAATTTTTGGGTTTAGTGTTAAAGAATTTATTTAAACATTTATTTCTAGTAAATCTGAGTCTGATTCACTATCATTTTAAACCTCACACCGTCCTTCCTTTTAACTGACTCAGCTCGTCATGACAAACTGATTGRAAGCTGCAGCTTTAAAAAAAACAGATTTTCATCAGGATTAAACTATCGTTTCTGTCTTTGCCACATTGCTTAAAAGTTTATACTTACAAATCAAAGTCAATAAAGACCCTGGAAAATCAGTTAAATCTGTAATCAGCCTGTGCAGCTTTAAATATTGAAAAAAAAAATCAGTGTGACATGTTGTAAACTTCAGGTTTTATGACAGTTGGGTGATTAATGTCCACATATGAAACAAACATGCTCTTGTTTTATTACCTTATGTGCAAACTGCATGGTGAAACACATTTACCTTGATGGTGTCCAGAGCCAGCTCAATTACAGCACACTGTTTGGGTGACAAAGCCTTGGCCTCTTCACGAACCATGTGCTCCTAAACAGGAGGGGAAAAAAAACAAACACAAAACACAGTGACTAATCCCTCCAAGAGATTCTAACCTCAGTTAGAGAACATAACTGGGTTAAAACATGCTGTACCTTCAGCTTGGACAGCTGTCCCAGCTCCTTGGCAGCATTGAAGATGAGCTGAGTGCCCTGAAAGAAGCAGAAAGAGGAAGTAGAGGTAGATAAAGCTTTGTTATTAACATGACACAAAGGACAGCAACGGTTCTGACACACACACACACACACACACACACACACACACACACACACACACACACACACACACACACACACACACACAAACAGCTGCTTTACACACGTCACACTACTTTTTCCCTTCAAGAGCTGCTTTCACATTATTCTGTGTTTTATTCATTTCACAACAAACTGTTGCAGAAACACACAAACACAGTAGACATTTCAGAAACAAAGAAGGAAAAATGACTCAGCTGATAGTGAGGGAAAGAAAGTTTACACATTTATGTTGTGGAGAACATGCACACACACACACACACACACACACACACACACACACACACAC